GCGTTAGGCTAACCGAGACTTGTCATTTGCACTTATATATTGTTGCTCTTTTGTTAGTTTTGACTGCTTTTATTGACCTCATTTTTAAGTCACTTAAAAGCGTCTGCTAAATGACTAAATGTAAATTTAAAAACCCTTGCTACGTGTGCTGCGTTAAGCTAACTGAGATAAAAAGAACCGACTCATCCGATTCATTCGTTCGGGATTCGGACTCCAGTATTCGCGCTGTATGATGAGTCTCTAAAAAGAACCGACTCATCAGATTCATTCGTTCGGGATTTGGACTCCGGTATTCGCGCTGTATGATGATTCTCTAAAAAGAACCGACTCATCCGATTCATTCTTTCGGGATTCGGACTCCAGTATTCGCGCTGTATGATGATTCTCTAAAAAGAACCGACTTCGCGTTGTTGTTCAGTAGCGGTGATGTGTATCTGAATAGTAATGTAGTAAACATACTAAACAATGAAACCTATTCTAAATAAAATCCGCTTCTCGGTTTCCAACCCCACAATCTTTACTGTGGCGCCATACCTTAACAAAAGCCAGGTTCATAGTAACGTTACACCAGGAAGTGACATCATTTTTGTAGGATAACAACAGCACAAGGATCAGTAAGTATCACCAATGAATTTAATATATGTTCTGTGCTGTTAGTTGGTTTCTCTAAATTTAAAACATTACATCACTCTGATAAAAATTACAGAAATCTTCCAAATGGTGCTTGAAAATAGTAAAACCCTTACTTATGCTAATGCTCGCTGAACAGTGGCTCTTTCTTTATTTCCATCATGCTAGGTATCCTGACCGTTTTCTTGTCATTATTGTGTAAAAAATAAAATAAGATTTTAATGAAGACGAAGTGACGAGCGTATTTTGGTTGGCCCTTTGGTGAGCTTTTTATATAAATACAACATAAATAAGCATAAACATAAAAAACAACAACATATACATACATAAGCATATCATTTTTAAGGAACGACCAAATTAGAAAAAAAGATGTTGTAATTATACGTTTGCTGTGCATCTGACAAACAAAACAGAAATGCCTCAACATTTCCTGTTGAAAAAAACAGCACATGACCAGCTTAAACCAGCAAAGGACCAATTACAGTGTGTCTGTCTTCAGGCTTCTGGATGTCATTGCAGGACGGAAAGATCCTAAGTGCCTAAAATCAGGCCAGGCTCTAGTTGACAACACCATTGTGACCTCTGACCTCAGACTCTGCTCTGCCTATGTAGTCCAGGTGGGGAGACAATACTCTCTGTGGCCTTCTAAAAGACATATTACAAAAAACTGATATATGGACTGCTGTTCAAAGATTCGGTTAGATTTTTTTTTTAATGTTTTTGAAAGAACTCTCTTATGCTCATCAAGGCTGCATTTATTCGGTCAAAGTTACAGGTAAAACAATAATATTGTGAAATATTACAATTTCAAAAAACTGTTTTCTAATTGAATCTATGTTAAAATGTAATTGATTCCTGTGATCAAAGATGTATTTTCAGCATCATTACTCCAGTCTTCAGTCACATGATCCTTCAGAAATCATTCTGATATGCTGATTTGCTTATCAAGAAACATTTATTATTATTATCAATGTTGAAAACAGTTCATATTTTTGTAGATACTGTGATGAATGGAAAGTTCAACATTTATTTGAATATCAACAGCATTTATTTGTAACATTATGAATGCCTTTACTGTCACTTTTGATCAATTTAATACATCTTGCTGAATACAATATTTCTTTAAACAAAAACAATCTTACTGACCCCAAACTTTTGAACGGTAGTATGTATTGTTTTACTTACATAGTAGCGATTGTATGAGAATTGCTAGATAATTGGAAATTAATATGATGAAATCATGCATCGTTTCCTTTCTTTTGTCTTTCAGAATGGCATTCTGATGGGAACTCTGACTGTAAGAGAGAATTTAGCATTCTCTGCCAATCTTCGCTTGTCACGCAAAGAGTATTCCTCAGCTGACAAGAAGATGAGGGTTGACTCCGTCATTCAGGAGCTCGGCCTGAAAGATTGCGCAGATACTAAGGTAATACACTTCAGCCTTGTGAAGAGGAATGTTGTAAATTATTTGTTGTATCGGTGTGTGTGTGTGTGTGTGTGTGTGTCTGTGTCTGTGTGTGTGTGTGTGTGTG